GAATGAAGCTGGAGAACCCTGCCGACCCACAACTGATGATCAATCCGTTCCAGCTGGACCCGGCGACAGCGGCTGCTTTGGCACCAGGACTTGGTCAGTATTTACTGCTTCTCTGCACTGCTCTGAGTTTCTAATCACATTTTGATTTGGCGTGATACACCCAGATAAAGTGGTGAGTGCCACCAAATTGGGGACAGTTTACTAGCAGGGACTTTCTCCTTCAGCTGGATAATGAAACCATTTGTGCCTTGCTTCAAACCTGAATTAACTCCAGAGGGGAAGGAGTTAAGGGATGAAGGGCAGCATAAGAGGGGTCAGCAAACTCCCTCTTCATTCAGCAGGTTGATTAACAAATGCTAATTTGCATTAGTTGCCCTACAGTCATTAGCCATACTTTGCCGAGAGCAGGCCTGCAGGCGTCAATCTCAGCCACTCTTCCCTAAAATATCAAACTTGGTATACCGTGATTTTTAATTAAATATTTTGAATTGAAGACAATTAAATTAACAGTAATACCGTTACCTTATCCCAGGTATTTGTGCCTGCACGCGGGCAGTATTAGCCAAATCTCATCAAGCTTTTAGACAAATTGCAAAATAACAATTAGTGCTTATGTAAGTTTATCTAGGCTCTTAAATTGCAAGCACGTGACTGTTTTGTTATGGTATTGATCAACTTTCTTGCCCTCGAAAATACAAATTTCAGAATGACATCATGCCCAGTAGGAGTAATTAAAGCTATCTGATGAGGGAATTTAGAAGTTGAAAGGGATGATTGTAATTGATCCTGATTCAATCCTATTACAGCTTTTTATAGTTTAAGCTCTAGAGAAAGCACATTCCTTGTCAAGACTTTATTTTACAGATTCCTTTGTGTGTGCTGTTTTCTAGTCTCTATTTTTCCTTTTAATTTTTTTTTCCTGTAGTAAATAATGAGCTGCCGCCTGAAATCCGGCTTGCCAGTGGTCAGCTAATGGGTGATGACCTGTCCCTCCTTACTGCAGGAGAGCTGTCACCTTATATCAGTGACCCAGCGCTGAAGCTATTCCAGTGTGCTGTTTGCAACAAATTCACCTCTGACAGCCTGGAGGCCCTAAGTGTGCATGTGAGCAGTGAGCGCTCCCTCCCTGAAGAGGAATGGAGGGCTGTAATTGGAGATATCTACCAGTGCAAGCTCTGTAACTACAACACTCAGCTCAAAGCCAACTTCCAGCTCCACTGCAAGACTGATAAACATATGCAGAAATATCAACTGGTGGCTCACATTAAAGAAGGGGGCAAAAGCAATGAGTGGAGGCTGAAGTGCATTGCCATTGGCAACCCAGTTCACCTGAAATGTAATGCCTGTGACTACTACACCAACAGTGTGGATAAATTACGCTTGCATACCACCAATCACAGGCATGAGGCGGCCCTGAAGCTCTACAAGGTAAGCAGTGACATCCATTTCCGTTGGCACAGAGTAGAGAAGGGAATTAACTGTTTCAGAGCTTGGAGCACAAATTTGCAAGTTAAGAAAAGAAAGAGAAAAAAAATAGAAGGGCAAGATACACAGTTTCTGCTTAACGTTACTAAACGTATATTGAGATACATGCAACTGGAGAGTTTATTTAAAAGATTTGCCTTATGTCCCTTTTATACCTAACTCAGTGGCAATCTTGACTGGCTTCCCAGAAGTTAAAATAACCTTCCTGAGTATTTTCACGTATAAAATAATACTGTTATCCCTCTTTTATTGGTTGATTAAAAACAACAGCAACAACAACAAACATAGAGTCGCTCTTGGCTGTGTCAGTGGTTATAGGCAACAGATCACAAAAACAGTGCTACTTCGTGAATGCGTCGTCTTTTGTTAGGTATCGAACAGGGGCAATCTAAACACAATGTGTATCTGTGTGTGTGTTCTATCGTTTTTCTGTAATTTTTGAGTAAACACACTCTCCCTTAGCATCAGTTGAAAGTCTTCTACTTAACTCGGTTGTTATTTTGCATGACCTTTCTCAGCTAGTCATGTTTTTATTCCCTCCACTGGGTGTGGCGCAAATAAAAATGTTCATTAAATGGCAAATACACTTTTATCTTTGCTGGAAAAAACTATGCCAATGTAATAAATATGTGCAACTGGTGAGCACCATTTATTACACAACTTGTCTTGACTTTTTCTAAGCCCTAATTACTGGTTAATTTATTTTGTGAGTTTGTTTACTGGATTGGCTTGATTGTCTTGGTTCTTGTACAAATGTAACAGATTCATTTCTATGATGAATAACTTGGTAACTTATTAAAAACTTCTTTTGTCTAGAGGATATTAAAATTCAGAAAATATTGCAAGCTATTAGTCATTGTAACAAGCTCTAAATATGATTACAAAATCCATTTTGCAAGTGTTATCTATTGATTTATACTAGAAATCAGTGATAACTATACTATCAGGAGTCAACCAGGGATTATAATATCTACGGCTTTTCTAATACTATTTCAAACTATAAACACACAGCAAAAGGGGCCGATTGTGGATCTCTGGAGCAGGTGCAAGAATTATTTATTTGAATTGGGGCTGGCGCTATTAGTTTGGGTTGTTTCTTGAAGTTCAAATTCTAGATTGACATACTGAGTGTAAAAACCTAAAGACGTGGCGTGAGAATCTGTAACATTGTTCCTGTAAGATCGGTGCTCTGTGGATCAATGACGAAAGCATTAGATTTGGGTTACACAGTTTGAGGGGAGTACAAGCCCTAATGTAAGATGGCAAGCTTCTAAGTCGATGCTATTGAAAATATAATATAAAGGATTAATTGTATTATAATTCATAGGCTTTACCATTCAGTTGTCAACTTTTTTTTTTTTCCTATTGATACCTGACCTATTAAAACTTTCAGAATACCTAGGAGAAAAAAACAAACATTAAGTTTGTATAAATAATAGATCTCAACCCTGGGAGCTATATAGAATATTCATGAACTGTGTTTATATTCACGCAGCTCCTCTAACACTTTAAATTAGCATGTTGTGAATAGAAGATATAAATGTACAAATTTTTCTATTTTATTGATCTCATGTGGGAAGCTAAAGAAAGGTAGAGTGTTACTGTTTATTTTCTCAGGAAAGGTTGTTTAATCTAATTGTTTGATGATTATTTAAACGCGTGTGTATATGTGTGTATTAAGTTTATTCATTCTTTCCTTGAGTATGAGTTGATCTCCCTCACTATCTGCAGAGCAATTTGCTAAGTGTCAGAGTTACTCTTCAAGTTTCTTTTCAGGGAGAGTTGGATATTGCCTTCGAATGTAACAACCAAATGAGATAAAAGCTTGTTTATAAAGAGGGCTTTAAAACAGAGCTTTAGATCCCAGAACCAAAGAATATATGTACTCTTCCATTAAAAATGTTATAAAGTCATATAAAAATTTACTTGTCCCCCACTCTTCTTTCTTTGCTTATCTCTTAAATACTCAAGTGTCTTTCTTTGTAGCCTAGCATCTAAAAATGGTCAGCCAACAAACAAAAACATACTTTGAACAAGCTTACCTTGAATTAAAAGAAGATTGAGGAGATAAATATTTGAGCTATTGAAACTTGGTATTGGACAATCGAACTATATTATGTTGTATTATCCTTCAAGGGGCATTCATTATTTCTAGTAGTAACTAGAAAAATACTCCAGAGTAGCAGTGTGTTGAGGGTGCCTTTTTGAAACTGATTTACAGAAACTGTCTGAGTCAGATATAGAGGATTTTCAAGTGTAGTAATGAGAATATTAGCAAGCTTGGTCGGCTTGTGTCGGCAAAATGAAATTGCTTCATAAGTAACATTAATTGCTTTTAAATGAGAACCTAACAAATTGGCCTGAGCGTGGAAAAAAAAAAAATGATGGTCTGTAATAGGCTAAAATATTAAAATTAGACTTAAAATAGTTTCTGAGTTAATGACTAGACAATAATCTCCTATATAAAACTCATTTTCATTGAGTTTAATTTACATCATTTTGCATCGTGAATTATTCAGACTTTAAGGGAAAGTGACAAGTAGCAGTTATAAGATAAATAGTGAGCTGTGAGAAAACAGCTTTCCTCGTTATTGACAACATATTGATTCATAACACTCTAAATGTGGTTATGTGTCAGTTCGATTTGAATAGACCACTTTACCTCTTGCATTGTCAACCTGCAGCAGTATTACTAAAAGAAGTGTGTGTCCTTATTCCAGTTTAAGGAGGTTAAAGGTTAAAGGTTAAGGGTTAGCTTAAAAGCATCATCTGCCTAGCTGCTTAACTTTTAAACTGATCAATTTAATGAAAATCTGTTTTACAGATGTTGTCTTAATGTATTTGGCAGGATTTAGGCAGCTTTAACATTAGACGTATGCTAGTAAAAATTATTTCTTTATTTGACCAGAACAACACCTTTCCTTTTATGTTTAAGGTAGAAGGCTTGCGGGTTATGGTATTTTTGGCAAAGGACCCAGAGGCAGAATGTGTTGATGATCTTTCCAAATGGACTCAAAAAAAAAGAATACCTTTATGTCTATTGCTAACGATGACTGCAAAAACAAACAAAGTTGTGTTCATTTTTTTGGCAGTATTATTTTCCTTAGAATTTTTTTAAAAAGGAATTTTGTTATTGTTAAGGAAAGCTTACTCACTTCTTTAAGCAGAATTCTCTGAAGCGCTAAGCACCATTAAATTTTGATTTTTCCTCCAGAAATTTTAATAATGAAGCAAAATTTGCCTAAGAAATTAAAACAATAAAATGAAACTACAGATTGCCCTTAATCTTCTCCTTCCATGTATAAAAGTGTATTTAAAGTGAGGTTAACAAATACTGAGTGTGTAGATAGCTAAGTCAGTGTTGTAAGTCAAAGTGTGCTCGTGTGTATATCTACATTGACATCTAGATCTAGATATGATGCAAAAGCATTGTTTCTTAGCTAACCACTTTATTGGATTTGATTATATTCTTCTAATTTCACACCTTTACATCCTCTACAAATTCTTGTCAATTGATATTCATAGAATAAATCCTCAATATTTGTAGGATGAATAAATGAATAGCCTGAGATTAGCCTGTATTAAAGAAACCCTGTTACTTCCAACCCTCATTTAAAAAAAAAAAAATGTATTACAATTGGTCTCCCTCTTACATGATCCCAAACATTTTTCTAAAGAGTCGAGTAAAAAGTTATAATGGAAACCACTTAGCACTACACATTCAAATCAAAGAACAAATACAACTTTGGCCATATTTCAGTTTTGCAGTTTAGTTTATTCTTGGCTCAGAAGGGACAAGACTTTTTCCAGCCAGCTGATTGGTTTACCCCCATCCTATGCCGGGCTTGCAAATGCTCTTGCCTCACCTGCACGTCAGCTGCTCTTATAATATTATATGTATTTTTAAGTGAGGTGTTCACAGCTTTGCTGGTTCAAAGTCAAAAGCTTAATTATACCAGCCTTTTTTCTTCCTGCATCTGCTAGTAGTGAAGCAGAATAGTCTGTCTGAATTCCATAAGGCTATTTTCATATTTGGATTTAAAATTGGCTGAGAGCAGTGAATGAGTCTCTTGTCTCCATGGTGAGCAAAAGAACACACGTGGGATTTAGTCCTAGGTAACTTTTAGTGTAACATTTCCCCAAGGAACATTTTTGGAGTTTTCTCATTATCCATGTTACGGATGAAAGCATCCGGGTTAAGAACTAAAATCAAGGTGTGGGGGAGGGTCACAGAAGAGAGTGGAAGGAGCCACATTGGGAAAAGTATGTGTCAAGGAAATAAAAAATGGAATAATTAGCTTCACCTACCTTTTTTGCCTTTTTTTTTTTTTACTAGTAGGAAATAATAACCCGATCAGTTTGGAATTAACAAAGAATCACAAGCATTTTCATTTCAATAAGCCTGAGTCCAACTTTGCAATTTAAAATCAAATATACCAGATATGTACCGTTTCAATTATTGAACTGTCATTGTCCCAGTGTGATGGTAAAGGAGGTCAGGAGATTGTGTGGTACACATTTGCATAAAAGTCATTGTACAAAAGGAAATTGGAATATGTGTGTGTATCTAAGAAACCAAAACAGGTTTTTCTTATTCTAGTCATTTATTTAGATGAAGAAAGCTGTTTTCAGAGATAAACAAAAGTTATTCTTTTCTGTTGCCAAACATTAACCTGAATATGGAAATTTTTACACTTTTTTATATTAGTTTCAGATTTATGTTTCTTTCAAGGTTGAGATGCACTGTGAAATTTAATTCCAGTTGCAGGATTTCGTCTTTAAAAAGTAATCACCACTCAAATTATTCTATTGTATTCTCATATAAAAAGACAAGGCAGAGGCTGAAAAAAGAGTTTCTGTGATGGAACAATAATACATGCTCCCATAATACTTATAACTAATAAATACGCAGATCAAATGGAGAGGAGCTGGTTAGCTCATAG